CCCTTGTACAGGCTCCGTCGTCTGCTACAAGAACGCTTTGTCGAACCTAGTCAAGCTCTGCCACGGTTGCGGCGCAAAATGAGGGGATTCGGTGAAACTGCCAAACGTAAGGGTAAGTTACGACGAATAACATATTCAAATACGTGAATAGCACAACGCAGACAAGAGTCGAACCGGGTACCACAGGCAGAACGGATTCGCTACGCCGCCAACGATGCACGTCGTTCCGGCGGATGGCCGGGATGGCGGATGGCTGTGACTAAACGGTAGCTGCCGGGAGCCACACGCAATCGCAGAGACGCAACGAGAAAGCGCGTGATAATTACCGGGGGTACCCAAAATCCGCTGCCGTCGTGGCATTGTACAGTCGGCCGTAAAAAAGGTGAACACGAGGGAGCGATGGACCGGCCGGTGATAAGGCGACACGGGGCGCTACGATAGCGTAAGCACGCTGGGGCATCGATTACCGAATGAGTCCACTCTCGGATGCACGGGGGACGTCGACACACCGAAGCCGTTCTCAAAGCGCGCTTTCCAAACGACACAGCGTGACTGCGCACATGTGTTCTGTTTGCGCCCTCTCCTTGAGAGCAGGACTATCTTTTTTATTTGCGTTTTGCCGCCATTTACGATTTATTGAGGCTTAACTGTCAAGGCTGGCGAATGAGAGGAAATAAAAAGCGTCGTCGCACGCTTGACGCGCCACCTCCAAAAATAAACCGCCCGTAAAAAAAAAAAAAAAAAAATCTACAAACGATGATTTCTTTAATGCACCCCTGCGATTCAAAAGTGAGAACGTCCCGGTCGCTCCCGCTCCCCGTGTTATCGCGAAATACAACGCCGCGTCTGGCGATTTCCCCGTGCTGGCCGCCCATCACTTGTGTTCATCTTTTTTGAGGCCAACTGTACGCAATGCAACAAATGTATTGCCGGCGAAAAGCATACGGATTCTGGGCAGCGCTACGGAAAGCAGCTTGCTCAAACGAAAAGTCCTGCGAAGAGAAACGCGATGTCAGACATCCGACAGCATCTCTTCTGCGAGTCCACAAACGTCGCACAGCTTGCGTTTTTTTAAATATCGTTTTTAGAACTATCAAGTTGAAGACGGACGAAATAGCACACACTCATCATTTTGAGGTTTCCTACAGCATCTCCCATACTGGGATCGGGCTCCTGTACTTTTGCAATTTCCACGGCGACTATGGGCAGACGTATTTGTTTACAGAGACAATGAGGTGGGATTATACGTGCGACGTGTAGTGACCAAATCAGACTTGCCTTATTTAACGACTCTGCCCTTGCATACAGCGTTATTTTTGTGACGGACGCCACGCTGAATTCCGGTATATATACTGCCGGGTCACGAAAAAGCTGCCTCAGAACTATAACCAAGGAGAACAGCCGAGAAACAATATGGCTAGTAGAGTGGTAGGAACACTTCAAATTCTAGCGCCTTGCAGTCGGCACGTGAGGTTTAAAGGGGTCATGAAACGATTTTCCTACTTCTTCCTCCTTAGCTTTAATCCTCAACTCAAATGCGAATTGTGAAATCACGTCGTCGTGACATTCTTCGGCACCGGTGCGATGACTGCTAGCTTCCACCGAGCTTTTTATGCACACCATAAAACTTGTCATTCCCCAGTGACGATAAGTTCCGTCAGGGTACTCATTGGCCACGAACGCGAATCCGAATATTCGCCGACGAATTGATTGTTGACGAGCGCATACGTCATACTGACGCAGTTCTCGTGTCCAATGCGTGAGCTGGGCTCTGCTGACGTCAGTTTGGCGCCGGTGACGCGTTTTGGGAACCGCGGATGTATCATAGTGAAAAGGCGGAGAGCTTTCGAAGGAAAGAAGGTACCAAATAGTCCGCTATATTTTCAAATGTTCGTACCGAAAAGCTGGCTTTTGACGTTGTACCCTCTTTCTTTTGGCCAACTAAACGATATGCGTTTAGTAAAGTCCCAATTTAAAATCATTTATTCCAGCCCAAAATTCGTTTCATGGCTCCTTTAATGTCAGAATGAATAACCCTTTAAAAAAATCACAGCGATGTTGTGTTTTGTGTCCTTTCCTGGGTTCAATTCGTGCGTTTTCTGGTATAACTAACGCACTCCTATCTGTAATATTAGTTTTTCTTCGGACACCAGAGAACACATGAAATGAATCGAAAAGTAATTCTGGATTTTCTTTCCCCAGGCATCGTATACGCCAGAATTCAACACGGCGATTGTCCCGAGAAAACGATATCTAGCACAACTGACCCAGTTCTCGTCTCGCCCAAAATCTGCCCCCATCCGCAGCCCACACGCGCAGGAACTACCTCCGCCACACACTCCTTCCGTGTCTCACCCTCCTCCAACAAGGAGTCAAAACCAAGCGCATTATTCCCAGAAATAAACTAAAAAAAAAAAAAAAAAAGGTCCGGTCATCCGAGGCCGAGCTAGCCAAACGTCGCCAAGCTCCTCGAAATCGCTCGTCCTGGCGGAAAAGTGAGATTGATGGCGGGGCCGCAGCCTCCGCCTGGACGCTGTCGGGCCATACTTCTTTCACCCCTAAGCTGACAGTAGGGTGGAACCCACGTGCCCGTTGAACCAGGCAAACTTCTATCTCTCAGACCGTGATCACGCTCATAGCCACGCGCAGAGGTCAGGTGACGAAGGGTCTGAGACGGCTGATTTGCTCCGGCGAGCACGTATACCTCCCACCGCACTGTCATCGTAGGGACGAGCGCGGTAGAGGACAGGGCAATCCTTATATAACTCGCCGAAGCTCGCCGACCCAACCGATCACCCACCCCCCACCGCACCACGTCGTGTATCCCGGCGAGCAAGCCCGGGGTTCGAGCGGGCACGTCCGCTCGTCCGACGCAGCGGCCGAACGAGCGGAAAGGGAGGCGCCACGCGAGCCAGCCCTCGCGATCCCTCGACGAAGAACGTCTCCCGACTTAAGCCTAATCTCGGCGGCCACTCGACCATCGCTCCGATCCTCTCGTCCGTCGTCTGCACTTCAAGTTGATCGAGGTCGTTCGAGGCCGGACGCGTGCTGGTTTGTCCATCGTTGCGGCCCGGCAATGTGGACAGGCGGTTAGCGTGGACGCCGTCCCTTTTACGTCTTGAGTTTCAAGTTTAGCGGACACACGGGTAATAAGGCACAAAGCGCAGAAATTTGTGTCCCAAGCGAGTTGCGGTCGCTCCGTCTTTCCAAGCCCGTCGAGTTTGCTTATGTCAGCAATGCTCGAAAGCATAAATGCTACACGGACAACTAAGTTGGAGCTTTAGCGAAAGCCTTCTACTGTACGATTTAACGTAGGAGACAAGTTGGTTCACAAGAATACTCGAGAAGTGTGAACAGATCTCGCGCTTCTTGGTCACGTATATTTTTAATAAAGTAAAAAAAAAAAATGCAACCGCTCGCAACCGAAACCAAAACATGTGCACGGAGGCTCGGAGGAGAGAGCTGCCGGAAGTTACGTGGCTATCGCTACCTCCCTAGTCCTTATTTTTTTTTTTTTTTTTGCGTTTTTCCGTTTTAATGGGTGAGAAGCAGACAACGACGAGGGCGTTGCTTGAACCGTTTGTCGTGCGATTGTTTCGCGCTTCGAGACCCCTTACGAAAATGCTCCCCTTGTTTGAAGCTGTAGAATCCCTGCACAATGATGGACACAAAAGACGCAGCCAATGTTGGAATCTTAGACACTCTACTAATGACATTTCATTTCTAGCTCGATTCCTTGATTAGTTTCGTCCGCTCATCGGGGATCGCCCGTTACATGTAGCCTCCTCCCCTTACCCCTCTCGTGATCCCCTTCCCCCGTCACGATTGAATGACTTTACCAAGAGATCGTGATGTACAACTCCCTTAAATGCGTTTTCCCATTCACCCACTCGCTTATGTAGTTTTAGAATCTCACATTTCTCTGTTGTCCCTTGTTCCGCCATTGTGCAATGTTTCAGACCTTTTAACAATGAGCACGTGACTTTCGGAAGGGCTCTATTGGCGACGTACGCGATCGAAAACGTCGCTGTGGTCGGCCTTCCACGATTGGCCGAATGCTGACTATGACGTCAGGAAAGGATCTATCATCGACGGAAAGAGTAATGTAAGAACTTCAATTTTGGTAGTGTTGGTTTCAGAGCGCAATGATTACAAGCTTCCACCATGCTCATTACACACACCATGGAACTTGTTTGTTCGCAAGGTAATGACGTCAGCAGAGGGCGCCACCGAAACATCTCGCCGCCAATACCCCTTCCACTTGCTGTTCTGTGCTTGAAGATCGATTGGCCGGTACCACGAACTACAGTGCCGAAGTAAGTGCTCCCCGTCCGTCGCAGCGTCGGTCCATTGTGCGCCGCCATCGCGTCGCCAGTATGAGAACGACGTGTACATCTATACCTCCTGTGATCTGCGCAACAATTCTTTTCGATCAACGTATTTGCAGGTTCTTGGAAACCACAAAAAATGGGGTATATATATATATATATATATATATATATATGGAATGTGTGTTTTAGATGAGCCACGACCTTGAACATAATTGACATGCATCAGTTTGAACGGCCCGTGACCGCGGAAAAGAAAGTCAGCGCGCATGAAACCGGCCAATTATCGACCGGCAAACCTTCGGGCGGAAAGAATACGAATTTCGAGCCGCAAATTGCGTTCTGGGTAGTTGGGCGCTTGTCGGTCATGTTCAAATATCAGACTGCATAGTAGGGTTCGTTAATGATGGGATTAAAGGGAAGCTGAGGAGGTCCACGAAGTCGAACGAATAGTAAGAGTTGCAATCTGTAATCTAACGTGTGTGCGAAGTGTCTATATTACTCTAGATGAGTCTTTCAAGAGTGAGAGAAAAAAGAGCAAACACGCGATGGCTTGTTCGCGCTAACAGTGTCGCGGAGTGCCCGAGCCGTTCGACGCACTTAGAGCCAGCAGCAGCAAGGCACTGAACTCGTAACCAACTCCAGTAGCGCTGGAGGCCTTCAGAAACTCACCCGCTGTTCCCTGAGCTGCGCCTCGAGGGCCTCCAGCGAGTGGCCCGGTCCTGCGACTCCCTGGCGGTCCAGGCGGGCCTCCATGCGCGCCAGCCAGGCCTCGAGCTCGCGACGTCGGTCGTCCAGGCTCCGGCCGGAGTCCGACGCCAGGCCTTCCAGCTGACGGCGCCGCTGCGAGGTCGCCGCTTCGCTGCGGTCCCACTCCTCGCGCAGCGACGCCACTGCTCGTCGAGAGAGAACAGAGAGATCCAAAGTTGCGGTAAGGTTACCCGAACTCCGCATATAGCGTCGGGGACGACCGATAAGCACTCGGAGTCGAGATAGCGCAGATGCCCGTGTTGTACTCCGTTCACATCCAAGCTGATAGTGCGGTGGAAGCTACGTGCTCGTTGAACCAGATTTTTTTATCTTTAGTTCGTTTCAGTGCGCACGGCTTTTTTGTTTTCAGTTCTTTTTTTGTTTGCTGCTGACCACTGAAGGGGCCCAAGGGCTTCCAAACTGTAAACTACACCTTTTTTTTTCTCTGGGTACCCCATCATAATCGATAGAAAATAAACGTACTATTATTATTATTGTTATTATTATTATCTTTGACCACTGGATCGCGCTTCCGCCCATACCCACGCACAGAGAGAGGGGTCAGGGGATGAAACGGAGGTAGGTGATTGGTCCGGCAAGTGCGTAGCTCGCACTATAGTGTCAGTTTAGGGGTGAATGGAGTATAGTGCCCTCGATTTAGAAGCGAGGAATATAAGGCGTTTTCGAGCGGTAAAGATTGGGTTTGTTGCCCTCACACGACAAGATGTCGGGGGCTGATCTATGATCTTGTACCGTTCCTGTTTGCCGTTAATGTGGAGCACTGACAAAGCTACAAGCGCGAGCTCTGTGCATTAGGAAGCGCCTCGGCTGCACGAACACATGCGCAGGAGGAACGCTCGTCAAACTCACCCGTTAGCGCTTATAACCATTGCTGCCTCCAAAGTTAAGGTCCGTATTTGGCTCCTAGTATGAGCGAAATATCAGTGAATGTTTTACGGGCCTTCTCATTAAATTAGCACATGCTTCAAATCAATCAATCCAAGGTTGCCATGCGAGCGATAGATACTTGTTGATGGCATGCTACCAGAGCTGTTGAGGAAGTACACGTGTCCGGATACCGGCGGCGAAGCACGCCATACAATAGAAAGAGGTGAAAGCCGCCGTGACAACAATTTACTCGTGCTCTCCCCTGTTAGAGATTGTAAATCACTCGACCTGGTCTCCATAGCCGAGTGATAGTTATAATATCAAGTGACAAGAATTGTTGATATTTAAGAAAAACTGTCCTGACAAAACAATAAAACACCAATATTCCTCTCAATGGTTACGTGAGAGACAAAGACATTTATCGTCGTAACCTTCTCGTAGTCACCAAACATATGCAAACTATACAAAATAAGCTGGAAAGTATTTTAAACCAGTGCAATTTTAGGCACGATCGAGAGCACCAGAAACGTTTATTGTACTCCCATTATTATTACTACTATAACCTCGACGCGGCTGTGCTTCGTGTATGACCCGCACGCGAGGGCCGTCAGCTGTATACTGATATCAAGCAAAGGAATGTCATCGGTCGATAGAGACCAACAATAATGGTTAGTTCCCTACGGGCACACTTCATCGAAGCATTTCCAAGCCGCGGTCACCGCCTGCTGCCGAGAGGGCGAACAGTTCGGAGTCGAACAAAATAGACGGTCGGTAAACAAAACAAATACAAAAAAAAAAAAAACACGAGGCTTCCGAATCTTCTTGAGGAGGCTAAAGTAGACAACAAAAAATACGCAAAAAAAAAACAAAAAAACACGAGGCTTCCGAATCTTCTTGAGAAGGCTAAGTGGACGCGCTCGAACCCGAACCGAGGTCCGGCCACAGGCCCTCATTAAGACTTCCGCACAAGTGCTCCCAGGTCCAGGGACCGAGTGGCTCTTCAGCCAACGACTCGGATTACTGACCGCCTCCAAGCTCTGCCTATATACACACAAACACGCACACCGCGGCTCCTAGCTTTTTCAGCTCTGAGCTTTAATGCGAGCAGTTCGCCCCAGCCGTAGCCTCGTTGTGTAGCCCGCCGTCAAAATTCGCATGCTCCTTATAATAGCTAAACATTTACCCCCCCCCCCCCCCCTTCTCCCCCCCACTTTTTTTTTTTAATACTTACTAAAGAAAACGGATTATTAGGACCACAGGAAAAGAGGGAGTTCGTCGGTTCCAACTTCTACGCTGCCGATGAGTGTGCCCCCCACTGTTTCATTTTAATGCTCATTCTTTTTTTCGAAGCCGTTATGACCGTAGCTCCTTTTTTTTTACTGTTGTGAGCCATTCTTTCAGCCGCTAGACTAGCTTTCCCTGAACGACTTTCTGCTCTTTTTATCTGTTTTCATTGCGCGAGTTTTACGACGAGCGTCACGTTTATCCCGGAGGATCGTCTCTACCGCAAAGCTCGGGAGGCAGGCAGGAGAGCGTACTCAACGAAGACCGCTTTCCTTTCTTATCTTTTTTTATTATACAGCCCTAGAAATGTAACGACTTAATCCTTCGTTTGTTTCTCTCTCTCTCCCTCTCAATCTCCCGCAGCGGCGTAAAAGAGCTGCTTGCCGCTACCAAACCGCCGGAAGCCCATCATAACCTATCGTCCTTTCCATCATATTGTATCCTCCCCTCACGGAACGCTTTAGACGTAACATTGCCGTTCTTCGCGCGAAAATTAGATTTTCCTGAGAAAGAGACTACAGAGCAAACTTTTTAATACCTAAAAAGCACTTCACTTCTTCCTCTGCCTCGGAAAGAAAAGAAGGCGCAGGTCTCCTCGTCGAAACAAACAACATACTCTAAAGAAGAAAGCTCCCTTGATAGCTCGCGTGCGGTCTAACGCGTGACGCTCGTTAGAGACAAACTGCATTAGGTAAATTTACCCAGCAACGGCTCGAACCAGTATCACCATACCTAAAAAAAATAGACCGTTAACGGTCGCTGTCTGAACATTCACTGTCAATTTCCCCTTTGTTCCCTCCGCTTCCTCGGCCAACAACGCGGATAAAGCGCGTTTATACATACTATAGTCACTCATCCCTTAAACACGCAGAATATGCGCAAATATTTGCACTGCGCTTGCACGGGAAGTATGCGACGCTATGAAAACTACCAGCGCGAACGTGTCTTCAGGTTGAACATCCCATTCGCACGATGGTGCGTGCGCAAATGAAACACTGGGCCGCGCCACCAGCAGCTTATTGACAGCGTTGTGTAAGAAGTGCAAGAAACGAAATAAAGTACCCATTTATTCGCTCCTCAAGCCTATAGCCACTTTCACTGACGAAGCAACTCATTACGTCATTAAGTCGGACCGGGATCGGAAACGCTAGCACGCATCAATATATACCCCTCAGCCGTCATCAAAACCTCGACCACCTTCCCACTCTCTCCCCTCTTTCAACTCTTCCCCTAATCAGCTTTAGGGAGAATTAAAGCGACCGCTCATCGTAAAATTCCCATGACGCGAGACGACCGGGCGCTCAACTCGCGACGGTAATGCGTTAATTACAACGAGAAAATAATAATAACGGAGAAGGGCTTCCTTGTTGCTGAGTCACCCGAGAAGATGAAACAGAAAGCAAAATAACACGCAAAACAAAGAAACAAACAACACCAACAACGTTTTCTTCCGTTTTCCATCATAGCCTTTATCCTTTCTGCTCGCGCTAATGCACTTCTCTTAATTTCACCGTGCGTTTCAGAAACATCGCGCGAAGAACAAACGCTGCCGCTCTCGCAAAAGCCCGCTACGTCTTCGTAAGCTTCACCCAAAAGGGTCGGCGTTATTTCTTTGTTTTCATCATTCACTTAGGTTTCGAAAGACCCGTACGCTCGGGAAGCTTATCAGGTTCAACCGCAAAATTAACATAACGAGCAGCGCCGCTCCCAGATATCCTTTCCTTCTTGTTTCGTTATTTGCTTCTTTTTTTTTTTTAGTTTCTCCCCGCCCCCTTTCCCACCCAGGCGCGAATGCAAAGCGGCCGATCTATGAGGAGAGTGATTAGAGGCATAATTAAAGGCCCTAATCTTTTGAGTCTGGAGTCGCCACCCGCCCACCCGCACGGCTCGCTCGCTGTTTATACCGAGCGTATTCCGAATTCTCGACGAACGCACAGCCAGAACATATACAGGATGTAAGAGGACGCGAAAAAACGAGCCATACGCTTTTCGCGCCGCAAAACACGGAATTATACGCAAACCCCGGCCACGATGTGGCGCTAGACAAGTGGATAAGATATATGGGTGATTTCATCTCAAATCGTGCAAGAAAAAATGACGCGTCCTCAAAAAATTTTGAAAAAAAAAAAAATCATATATGTTGGCGGAAAATGTGCGACTAGAACTAAACTGAAAATTAGTACTACGGATTTTTTTTTTCTTTTTCGTTTTGCGTTCTTGAGTTCTGGGTTTTGAAAGACAAGAAGGCAGGTCTCGCGATTTTCGGAGTTTTCACGAGTGACACATTTTGGAGTGTTGATAGTTTAGATCACTATTTGTTTTCACAACAGCTATCTTTTTTTTTTTTTTAAGATTTTGTATAGAAGGGTTAAAGTTCTCTAGAAATGCGCTTTTTTATTTTATTTCATGAAATGCAAATTCTTGAATCTTGCACCTTTTACAATTATGGGACAAGTTTTACCCGAGCTAACTTTCGATGAACACTTATTAAAGGCATAAGGAACATCGAATGAAACCTTGTAGCTGAGCCCATCTAAAAACTATAATATCGTTAATTTAAATATAGTTAACATAGAAGAACCAACACTAAACTTGAGAAAAAAAAAGCTAGAAATACGAAATACAACGCCATTTTAAAAAAAATACAAATTTCTTCTAATTTTTTTTTTACATGAAACGTTTTGGTGGAGCTAGTCAAGCAGCGTCAAAAGTGCTTCGTCATGGCGTTCGTCGTTTTTGTGCACTTGCCATACCAGCGGCTACGCATGGTCGCGGCGCATTCACCCTGCGTGGTCAGTTAAGCCGGTGACAGCGCTGAGACGACAAGCGCAATGACGAGTCACTTTTGACATCTTATACAATCGTGTGCGCAACAAAGACGAGGACAAAAGCAGAGAAGAGGACACAACAAGGCGCACACGATTGTGCGCCTTGTTGTGTCCTCTTCTCTGCTTTTGTCCTCGTCTTTGTT